CCCCACAGCTCACAGCACGGTCAGAACACGAGGCGCCTTCACACGCAGAAGGTTAGCCTCCCAGGGCGCACGGCCTCAGTCACACGTGACCCGGAACCGCTGCTCCCGGGGCCGCTGGGTTCATGTCGGGGATGAAGGCGGGAGCCACAGCAACGCGGAAGGCGGGGCCCTTCTGCACGGCTCCCCACCCTGAATGCACTTCCTTTCTCCGTCTCCTCATCTGGAGGGTGAGGCATCAAGGAAAAGACGTTTCTCCTTTGTCCTTTTAGGTTATCCGCGCGGGAGCCGAGCATCCACACTGCCCCGGTGCTTCCTGCGGGGCGTCTGCTCACACTGCGCCCGCGCTCCCGGGTCAGCGAGAGCCTGGCCCCCGGGGTGTCACACCCACTGGCCGCGTGCGGAGCGGACAGTCCTACCGTCGCCATCACGGCACAGAGCGCCACCATGTGCGAGGCCACACAGCAGGCACGACAGAAAGACACCTGCCCCGCCACCTTCCGGCAGAAGACCCATTTCCCACGCGAAAGCCCGAGTTCCCCCAGCCACACACTCACAGGAAGGAGAGATGAAGGCGGAGACACCGACCGAGGCCCTGCTCCCAGCTCCGAGGCGAGGGCAGCAGGAAGTGCTGAGTGCGGTTCCCATAACGGTGCGTGGCATCCAGTCGCCCAAACACACCGGTGCAGCCTGAGCAGCTGACTTCACCTCCCTACCATGTACCACTGCCCTGCTCAGAGAACACATTTCTATGACACTCTGTAAACCCAGGATTTAAACCTCCAAAGAACAGATTCCCTGTCTGCTGGGGATGTAGATGTGGGGGGTTTTTGGTTTTACTGGACGAACACCAAAAATCGCAAACCCTGTTATCTCATCCCCAAACACATTGTGTTAGTTTCACTCCTAATCAAGCCACCTTCTCAGACCAGCCGTCCTTACCAGGCTCCCTCGGAAAGCGCTGTGGCCGACATGTGGCGTGCGGGCGCCTGACGCCTTTCCTAGAGCCTGAAGGGACACCAGGAAAGGTCCGCGGTGTGTTCACCGCCGACAGCAGCGCCTGCGCTCGGAGAGCGGGTTTTGCTGGAGACCCGAGGCTGGTTGCGGGCCTCTGGCCACCGCCCAGATGGAGACGTGCGCCAGGGATGTAACAGGACGGTCCTGGGAGCCGGGAGCCGGCAAGGCGGCGGCGCCTCTTCAGTGCCTGACCCCGCGGGAGGCACCTTCCAACGTAGAGGCCGCACGAAACGCGATGAAGGAGAGCAGCCCGCGGGCAAAGGGTCCCCGAGCTCGATGGCAGTGCTGCTGGCCTCCTGGTGCAGCCCCCCCACCCCCATTCCTCTCGGGAACAACGCCTCGTTCTGATGGGCCGGCTGCTCCTCACCAGTCCCTCCTCTGGGAGCCGCCCACCTGCTCGGCCAGCCTCCCAGGCGCCCAGCAGCGGAGCGGAGTCCCTTCCTGAGAACGGCCGCTTCACCCTCAGGCATGGGCCTGGGCACGTCATGGGAAACAAAGGCTCAGAGGTCACGGACACGCCATCTCCCGCAGGCCTTTCGATTCTGACCAGGGCGTCCAGTGGGCAGATGCAGGGACCCCAAAGGCCGTTTGAGATGCTCCAGCCACACGGCACCGCCCACAGCTGCGCCCGCCCCGGAACAAGCCTGCCCAGAGCCCAGCAGCCACGGGCTCACTCCACCTCGGGGCACGTGGGGGCACAGTGCTGTGCCCACTTCACAGAGGAGACGGACCCAGCTCAGGATCAGGGATGCCAATGCGAGTGCTTGTTTTAACCCATATTCTTCCTGCACCTCGGCGGGTGTGTCGGGGCGACGGGCAGGGGCAGGAGGGTGGCACGGACTTCAGAAGCAGATCTGCACTGACCTGGGCGGACCCGGCATTTCTGGTTCTCTGCTTGTTAAAAAGTTAACTAGATCTAGAAGTAGGGACATGCTGAACGCCTGGCGAACTCTGAGGAGATGCGATGAGTTCAGACCCGACTTTACAAACAGGGAACACCTTCACTCACACACCTATCACAGCAGCGTGGCCGAGACCCCCGCCACCGGGCTGTGGGCAGTGGGACGCGGCCAGTCCGAACTGAGGTGTGTTATAACACTCGCTGCATTTCAAAGACTTCCCATGAAAAATAAATGGAAATACTTAAAAATTTTTAATACTGATTATGTGTTGAAATTATAATATTTTGGATATTTTGCATTATTAAAATACATCATTTTACTTATTTCTTTTACCTCTCTCAATGTGGGTAATTTAAAATGTGTTTTTTTTAATTGATTTGAGAGAGAGAAGGGAGAGGGATAGAGAGATAGAAAGAAACATCAATGAGACACAAACATCAACGGGCTGCCTCCTGCACACCCCCCACTGGGGATCGAGTCTGCAACCTGGGCATGTGCCCTGACTGGGAATTGAACCCATAACCTCTTGGTTCATGGGTTAACGCTCAGCCACTGAGCCACACCAGCCGGGCTGATTGTGGGTAACGTGTGTATGAGGTTCACCTTACATTTCTGTTGGACCGCATTGCTGTACGGGAACATTTCTTAAAATGAAGCTTGTTTCTTTCCGATTACAAAAATGTCATTTTTTACTGTAGAAAATAGAGGAAACAGCTACATAGAGAAGCGAACTAAACCCTCAAAAGTATCGCTGTCCGGAAGTAACTTTTGTTAACGTCTTAGAATGTTCGCCTCATTCCCTTTTGGTGACAGTCACACTCAGCCTCACTCTGTCGGGTTCAGGTGGACGGCACCCAGGTCCCGCCGCTTCGGGCCGCACACGGTCATCACGCTGTTCCCGACGATGCCCGGTGCCGCCGTCGCCGTGACTGCTCTGTACCTACCCGTCTGCACTGCTCACTCCCTTCGCCTTCTCCCCTGGCCCAACCCCCGCCCGGCACTGTCAGCCTGCTTTCTGTTCTCAAAAATCTCTCTTCCTAGAGATAACGTTTGAGATCTGAGAATGCCCTGGGTCTCGCTCCCGATGGAAATCTCTCTGTGTGACATTAACATTTCGCGTGGCTCAGGCTCTGGTCGGCCACCATCACGTCCCACCTGGATTCCTGCAAACCTTCTCGCTGGTCTCCTCACGTCTGCTCTTGGCCCCTTCGGTCATTCTCAAACCAGCCACCATCGCATTCCTCTGCAAACCCCACCTGACTCCCTCTCATGAGGGTAGGAGCTCCGGTCCCCACAGTGGCTCGCTGCGCCCAGCCTGCTGCCCCGACCCCGTGCCCAGCCTGCTGCCTCTGACCCCGTGTCCAGCCTGCTGCCCCTGACCCCGCGTCCAGCCTGCTGCCCCTGACCCCATGTCCAGCCTGCTGCCCCTGACCCCATGTCCAGCCTGCTGCCCCTGACCCCGCGCCCAGCCTGCTGCCCCTGACCCCGTGTCCAGCCTGCTGCCCCTGACCCCGCGTCCAGCCTGCTGCCCCTGACCCCATGTCCAGCCTGCTGCCCCTGACCCCGTGTCCAGCCTGCTGCCCCTGACCCCGCGTCCAGCCTGCTGCCCCTGACCCCGCGTCCAGCCTGCTGCCCCTGACCCCGTGTCCTCCTTATCTCCTGCCTGCCCTGGGCCAGGGCCTCCCTGCATCTGCCTGGGGCCTGGCCCTGCTGACTCCTGGTGCCTGAAACCCGCTGCCCAGGATCCACATGACCCCCTCCCTCAGTCCACAGCCACTACGCGAAGGTCAGCCTCAGCGAGGCCCTGCGTGGCCCCTGACCCCACATCGCAGCCCCCGCTGCCGGCTCCTGGCCTCCGCTCTTGCTCAGCGCCGGGCCCGACGAGGCCTCTGCTCTACCGCCGGGAAGTGAGGCTGTGAGGCGGCTCTGGGGTGGCGCTTGTTCTCTCCACAGCCCCCAGGGCCTGCACGGGCGTGATCTACTTGGTGACGGGGTGCCTGGGGTCTCGGGGTCCCCCCGGGGCGGGCCCAGGGACCACCCCTTTCCTTCCCTGCCTCTCAGGTTGCGGCGAGGGGTTCCTTGACGGCTGAGGTGGAGCCACAGGATGAAGCCGCCACCCACTGTCATGTTCATGGCTCCCTCGCCAGAAAACCTGGCCACACGCGGATCGTTAGTGAGGCTGAGCGTCAACGCTGGTCTGTGCTTTATTTGAAAGCAGCTGCACTGTACGGGTTAGGAAATCCCTTTTAACACCCCTGTGCGCTCGCTTCGCAGCACGTCTACTAAAGCTGGAACGATAAGAGATCAGCATGGCCCCTGCGCAGGGATGACATGCAAATCCGTGACGTGTTCCATATTTAAAAACACACAAAACTCTCTCCTTTTCACGTACAAAGAGAAGAGAAAAGCCTGTTTACGGGAAAAGCTCAACCAAAGAAACAGCTCAGCTCACTGTGGTGAGTAAATCAAAGCGGCAAAGCGACGGGCCCAGTTCACACAGAAGCACCTGCCCCACGCGGGCCGCCCCGTGTGACGAGAGCGACTGCGCCCACAGCCCCGCTCACACCTGTGGGGAGAAGCTCTGACAAGAGGGCCGCCCAGACGGAGGAGAGCTCCCGGATCAGCCGCCTCCCTGGTCAGGGCCGTGGGGAACACCCCACGCCGTTCCCGTAGCTCAGGATCCTGGTCGTGACGGTCACAGTCATCACCATGAAATGCTGGTCCCAGACGGCAGGTGCCGGCAGGTGGCGGCCAGGTAACAAGAACACGGGGAAGCAGGGCCCCGGGTCCCTGCAGGGCGGGCAGCCTCGCAGGGAAAGAATCAGGAGGACACCGTCTGGCACAGCCGCGTGAGGGGAGCTCACCGCCAGCAGATTAGACTCAGGAAGGAACGGACGCAAGGACGCCCACGCCCCAGCTCCCGGGCTGGGCCTGGGGGACGTGCTCCCGGGGGCCGGGCGGCAGCTTCACTCCAGATGGGCAGGCTCGGTCCCCCCGGCAGGGCTGACCTGGCTCACCCGCAGCTCTGGGGTCACGCGTGTGCAGGTCCGATGGGGGACACACTGGCTTTACTGCTCAGACGCGTGCTACGGCAGGAGCACTGAGGTAACTTCCACCAAACGGCTGCTGACCGCGCAGCCCCATCCGGGCGCAGACAACGCTCCCCGGGAACCACCTTCTACAGAAACCGTCTCCAGCCCTGGCCCGTGTGGCTCAATGGATAGAGCATCAGCCTCCGGACGCAGGGTCCCAGGTTCAATTCCGGTCAAGGGCACGTACCTTGGTTGCAGGCTCCAGCCCTGGTCAGGAGCATGCAGGAGGCAACCAATTGACGTGTCTCTCTCACGTCCATGTTTCTCTCTGTTTCTCCCTCTCCCACTCTCTCTAAAAATCAATGGAAAAATACCCTCCGGTGAGGATCAAAACAGAACAAAACAACCCAACAACGTCCTTAAGTGAAAGGCTGTCAGTGCTCTGCGGCCGGATGCTCCGCCTTCTGCAGGCTCACGGAGCTTGGAGAAGATTCTCAGTCCCAGGTGTCCTACAGACGGGCTGGGAATCGAGTGAGCCCGCCACTCCGCAGAGCAGGCTCGGTGCTGCCCAGCAGAAAGGTCGTGGCACGAGCCACCCCCAGCGCCCTCGGGAGTCTGCGCGCCAGTGCGGGTGGGGGACGGACGGTGCAGAATCAGGCCGCGTGCTCTGTGACCAGGACGAAGCACAGAGAGCGGCTTCCCGGCGAGCGAGCGAGTGACTGTGCCAGGAAGCTGGGCCTGTGGCTCCTCCTCCCTCAGTGGCCCGGCCACCCTCCAGCCACCCGAGTTCCCGAGCCTCCCTCAGCGACAGCGAGAGGCTGGACCAGCCGTGGGCAAACTACGGCCCGCGGGCCGGATCCAGCCTGTTTGAAATGAATAAAACTAAAAAAAAAAAAAAAAGACCGTACCCTTTTATGTAATGATGTTTACTTTGAATTTATATTAGTTCACACAAACACTCCATCCATGCTTTTGTTCCGGCCCTCCGGTCCAGTTTAAGAACCCATTGTGGCCCTCGAGTCAAAAAGTTTGCCCACCCCTGGGCTGGACCAACGCCCGGTAAGGGGTCTCTCCCCTGCCAAGTGCCAGCGGAGACACCAGGTCAACCATCTTCCTGCGGAGACCTGACCTCGTGTTCTTAAACCATGGAAACGATTGGTTTGGGAGATCGTTAACGTTACCATTTGTTCTTCCAGACATTTTCCCCTGAACGTATTTATTCACATGTCCAACCAATGCTGGATGCCCACCGCGTGCCGGTACCAGGCCCGGCCTGAGGCTCACGGGCACGAGACCAGGGCTGACATTCAGGGCTGGGACCGAGTCAAATGTGGTGCCGGGACCAAGATCCCCAACACCAAGCCCTGCCCACACCAGCTCACGGACGTCAGCCGCACTCACTGCGCTCCCAGCCTGTGGGCACGCGTCTCACTGGAACCTGCGAGTCTGCCCTGCTCCTGGCGCTGCTCCGGGACGCTCTCCTTTGGCAGTTTTTGGGTCTCACCGGCCAGGTGTCACCGGACGGCACTGGCCGACCTCAACGCCGCTCCGGTCTGCGCAGCACCGCAGTGCCCTGTGGCTGGGGAGCCTCACCTCCAATCTCAGATCTCAGGAGCCCTTCTCCAGCCCCAGGGGAGATGAAAGACAGTGACCTGCGAAGGCGGCCAACAAACCCCTCCCCCCACCCAGGGTCCGTGCCTCTACCGAAGGCCCCACCGTGCGCCCCGCCCGCGCACTCCCTGGACCCCAGGTGGGGCAGAGGTGAGAAGCAGCCATCTTCCAGCAGCACAGCGCCAGCCTCCACTGCGGCCCTGAGAGTCGCCCGTGCCCGCGCCCGTGATGCTCCTCTTGCATCGCAGCAACCACCCCACATGCACGGCGCTTTGTGGAAGGGCCAGCGCCCGGCCCGCAGCGGCCTCCCCGCCCATGTGCGACGCAGTTCCCCCGGGGACGGGGACGCAGAGGCGAGAGGAGCTGCTGCTATAAAAAGGCTGCTTATCTCAGGAAGTCTTGCACTGAGGACAGAGTGTGCTGAGGACACGGCTCCGAGCTGAGGTCGGGGGGAGTGCTGGGAGGGTGCAGGAAGGGGGGCACGACAGAGAGACACGAGAACCCAGGGAGGTGGCCCTGCTCCTTTGGTCTCGGTCAGCTCACAGGAAACCTCTGCCGCTGAGAGCCCCGTGTTCCCCACGGGATGGGAACCACCCCGCCACCAGCC